TAAATCTTTGATCTTCATCAGCAAGTATTTTAAGTCCTCTTCATTTTCAGCAAGAAACATTGTATCATATGCATATCGCAGGTTATTTTTAAAGAGTCTTCCTCCCATCTTAATGCCACATTCTTCTTCATATATCCAACTTCTCAGATTATTTGCTCAACATACAGATTGAATAAGTATGACGAAAGAATAAAAATCTGGCACACACCTTTACTGATTTTAAACTATTCATTGTTCCCTTGCTCTGTTCAAACAACTGCCTCTTCTTGGTCTAGGTGTAGATTACTCACGAGCACAATGAAGTGTTCTGGAATATCCATTCTTCGCAATGTTATACATAACTAGTCATGATCCACAACATCAAAATCCTTTGCATAGTTAATAAAGTACAAGTAAACATCTTTCTTGCATTCTCTGCTTTCAGCCAAAATCAATCTGATGTCAGCAATAACATCCCTCATTGCATGACCTCATCTGAATCCAGCTTGAACCTCCGGCAATTCACTGTCAATGTACTGTTACTACCATTTTTTAATCACCTTCAGCAAAATTTTACTTACAAGTGATATTAATGATACTGTCTAATGATTTCCACATATTGTTAGTTCACCTCTCTTTGGAATGGGCACAAATATGGATCTCTTCCAATCAGTTGGTCAGGTGAGCTGTCTTTCATATTTCTTGGCATAAATGAGTGAGTGCCTCCAGTGCTTCATCAGTCTGTTAAATTTTTTTAAATTTGTATTCCTTCAATTCCTGGAGATTTGTTTTTTGCAGTAACCTTCAGTAAAGCTTGGTCTTTTTCCTTCATACCATCAGTTATTGATCATATGCTACCTCTTGAAAGGGTTCAGCACTGACCATTTATTTTTGCTACACTAACTCTGTATTTACTTTGCATCGCCTCCATCTCCTTTTGGTGCTTTCTGCACCATTCGATATTTGCCCTTTGTTTTGTTGTTATTGTTAAGTGTGATTGAGTCAGGTCTGACTCATAGCGACTTTGTATAGGGTTTCTGAGGGGCAGCTGGTGGATTTGAACTGCAAACTTTAACATTCAAACCAGTCTTTCTGTTCAATGCATTATCCGGAAGTACCACACCAGGACTCCACTGAATCCTTCAATACTGCAAATTGAGGCTTGAATGTTTTCTTCAATTCTGTGCACTTGAGAAATGCTGATTATGTTCTTTTCTTTGGGTTTTCTAACTCCAGGTGGTTTTTGCATACTTCATTATAATATCTGAATTAGAAATTTTCTGTTCAGCTTTTAATTGCTAATTTTTTATTCCTAATTTTTAATCTCTATGCTGGAGAGCAAATTTAAAAGTCTCGTCCAACATCCATTCTGGTCTTTTCCTTTATAATTACCTTGTTATTTTTTTCCTGTATAAAGTTCTTAATGTCATCCCACAACTCTTCTGGTCTTCAGTTATAGTGTCTAATGCATCAGATCTGTTTTTCCGATGATCTCTGAATTCAGATGGGATATATTCAATGTCATAATTTGGCTCTCATGGACTTGTTAACATTTTCTTCAGCTTCAGTCTGAATTTGCATATGAGTAATTAATTGTGCATTC